TGTGTTTTCCTAACAGACACATTTATAAGAGAACAATACAGTACAGAAAAATCTTCCAGACCCCACTGCAGGGCTTTGTCAATAGAAAATTTGTTCATAATCACAAAGTAATTTACCATTTTAACATCACAGAATATAAAACATGAAGTCCGTCTTCCAAATATCAGCCACATATTCATAGCTGAAGAAATGACAGTGGTAACTAATAATTCAACAAATGGAAATTAAATAATTTTATTAGAGTGTAAAAAATAGCTTGAATTGCCACATGTCATTCTTAAGCATGTAAATAAGGTGCTGGGTGGAAGCGATCCCTCCCTCCCCACAGCACATGGATGTCACTCTTGGTCAAATGTAAAATCCCTGAGCAGTGGCTTTGCCCGGTGTCCCCTGTGACCCACATCCTGACACCATGCTACTATACATGCAACACTGAGTTAGCTAGTGGCATCCTTACAGATCTCCTCAAGCATCTGAAATATGTAAGGTTCTAACGCTAACTGCCACCCTCAAAATCACCAGTGGTTTAATATAACTAATCTGGTATTTAAAAAATAAAATTTCCTAAACTTAAAGCCTCAAAATTTTCTGTTGAGAAAGTTTTCCCATCAAATATGTAAGTGGCTCGTAAGGGCTTGTACCTGTGAGGAGCAGGTGGGGCGAAAATGCTATATGTTTTTAAAAGTACATTGTTATGATATTTTGGACAACTCTCTGGGGACTGATGCTTAGAAAATGGATACTTAGACTTATAATATATACTTAAAATTCCTCCTCAAATATAATTAAAATTTTTATACCATAAAAATCAAGTCATTTACATTTGCTTGTTAAATGACATATCATATTAGCTTTTAGAATTTGAGGTAACTACACTTAAGAAGCTTCCTTGTGGTTACATATGTATCCATCTTGTGATTTCCTTTCTCATCTTCTAAATATCAAGTGCACGCTATTCTGCTAAGGATGAAAAAAATCCAACTCTTTGATATCTTCAGATAACACTATTTCCAGTACTTGACAAACTACACCATTCACCCAAGTTCAGTCTATCCTTTTGAAGCAAGTGTTTCCATTTGTGTCATGCCAGCATCATTCAAAAGTAGTACAGAAAGTTCTTTCTTGCTGGGAACACCTTGATGTTGTCACATAATTTTTTTATTTCTTGAGTAATATTACTTAAATTCGTAAGAAAAAAAGAAACAGAATTTTGCCTTGTTAAAAAGACCATAATTAATAAGAACTTATGCAGCATGTTTATTAACTACTCATAATATAATTAACACATGGTAGAAGAAATCTCTTAGGTTTAAAAATAGCTTCATTTAGCATACCAAAAACATAGAGATATAAGAAAAACATTACCTAGTATAATCATAAAAATAGTTAAATACCATAATTTAATGTAAACCAAGTGTTTAAAAATGTGAAATATTATAATAAAATACATGCTATTTACACAGAACCAAGTTAAAGCAACCTCCAGTTATCGTATCAGATCATCAATCTTGAAGTCATAACTAACAATGAATCAAACACAGCATCAGTATTTGTATTGTTCAATATGAAAAAAGAAATATAATTTACTTTAAGCAGATACAATTAATTGTGATATTCAAAACAGAGAGGCAGATAGTTCTAGGATTCCAGACACAACTACTGCATATGGAAGTTTGGAAACCATTCCACTGGAAGAACTACCATTAAGCCCATTCTTTAATTTAAATGCAAACTGGTTGATTCAGTTTAATTACTGCTTAAGAAAGGCACTAAATATATCTGTAAAAATAAACCTTTATTAAAAATGATCCAAGGTGAATGTAGTATCTATCAGTAAAGAAAGGCAAAAGCATAAAAATATATTTATTCCAGACAAGCCCCTTTAATTATAAAACATATTAAGAAACACAGTTTATAAAACCAGGTGGCATAGCAAAAGGGTTTTTAAAAATGTGAAACCCAAACAAAGCAAAGTGAAACCAAACAAACCTAAGAGAATGCTTCTTGAAGAAAGTGGTATTTTGTTTATCCTGTCATCATGATGCCAATGCTGCCAGGAGACCTGTGACTGATGCCAGTTATCACTATGGAGTAGGAATGCTTTCTTTAACCAATAGTCTAAAAAAGCTCAGTTTTAAGCATTTGGATTTTGTTTCAAGGATTAACATTCATTCATATACTGCAAAAGGTAGCATTAAATCCAATATCAGAAGTTTGAAATGTAAAATAAAGTTGCAAGAATATATACTTAGTAATAGAACATTCTGCTCCTTTGTATAATCCTGTAATTCTGAAACTTTTGGCCTCCAGACCTCCTTATATTCTTATATTTTATTGGGGATCTGGATGCCAAAGAGCTTTTGTTTATGGAGTTGACATCTATCCATATTTGCCATATTAGAATATATAAAAATTTAAAAAGCATTTATTCATTTAAAATTAAAAAGTTCATTATGTGCTAACATAAATAACATTTTTAATAAAATAGCCCTATTTTCTAAAACAGAAATAAGATCTGAGGGAAGATGGCATTGTTTTATATTTTTAACAATTTTGAGAGAGAGCGCGTTAGAATGAAAAGATAAATAATAGCTTTGTAATATTATGATAATAGTTTTGATCTCATCGATCCCTAAAAGGGTCTCAAGGATACCCCAGAGTTCATGGGCTGCACTTTTGAAAACTGCTGGTTAAATCTAAGGCCTGATATTAATGACATAAAAATATATACAAAAGGAGCCTTAGTTTTCATTTTAAAATAAACCAAAATATCCACACATACACACACAAGTCAAAGTATCAAACACTTCAACTTTCAGCTTTAACTAGAAGCCAAAGATCACCATGGCCAAATTCAAAACAATATTGTCATTTCTGCTGGGACTAGGGTGAAGATTTATTCATGAAAGCTACAAAACCTATTAACTAAGCACACCCATTGTAGTTCTCTTTCTAACATTTGCTTAATCTTGTTTGTGCTAAGCTGGCTGTCATCTTTAAGTTGGCACAGCCTTGGTATAGACCAGAGTATGACAGGAGTTTAACTAATAGCCTTCACACTCAGATCAGGAACATGTTCGCAATTTATGGGGCAGCCTATTCTATTTCTCATTATGTAAAAACTCAGATTTTAGGGGAACAGGTGGAGAAAATTCTCTCTTAAGGACAGTAAGAACAATGCTATGGCCTCTTCATATCTTACAAATTACTTTCATGCACACCATATCATTAGATCTTTTGAAGTCACTAGAGAATGACAAGGCAAATGATTTTACTACCACTTCAGAGTAAAGGAATTTGAGGGCCAGATACGGGACTTTCCTGAGGTACCATGGCAAGTATATTGCAGAAAGGGATTAGAATTCAGGATTCTCCTCAGTATTTTCTCTTCCTTTGGTTTCAGGGAAAGATTGAGGGAGGGGTCAGTGGGGAGGGAGGCAGCAGTGTATGACACTTTCTAAACCTGCATTCCATTGCTTCATACACCATTTTACCCAACACCAAGGCATGTTGGGAGTGGCAGAGACATCTCTCTAATAAAATGAATTTCCCACCAGTGCCATAAATTATGGAACTTTGTATAAAAACACTGTCATACTTTTCTTTCTGAGCTAGTTTATATTGGCAGTTCATTCATAGCCTGTTCACTCTGATCCAAAGGAAAAGTAAAAATCCTGAAGTTAAAAAAAACTGATAAAAATGAAATAACAATAACAAGATCTCTGTGAAGCTATTATAACTAGATTTATTGTGCACCTGGCACAACAGACTTTGCACTCTTCCTCCATCAACTGGAGAGCAATATAAAAATCACAATTCTTAATTTAATGGGAAATTGCTTCAATCATCTTGAGACAAAGACTTCAGTCTACACAAAAGCATTAAGAAAATAATTTTAAGAATATTATTTTAACTAAATTCTTAGGTACTTGACAATTCTGTGCTGGTAGGAGGAATAGAAAGTAGAGTAAAAAGCAATGAAACAATGAGAAGAAAATAATTATTGTCACCAAAGAGCAAAGGAGAAATCTTTATCTATTCACTGTCATTAATACATACATGTACTTTATAAATTATTCTGTTGGCAGGAAATCCTCTCCACCAAGATGTTAATACAAATAGCATGAGACATTCAAAATTAGTAAGCAAACACTGTTTAACTGGGAGGCGGGACAGTCAACAACAAACTCCCTCTTACAAAATTAGCCAAATGCCACTAATTACCAATAATTTTCTTGCTATACACTATAAGCAAGTTGTTGTTTACTGTCACTTCCTTCTGTATTTCTGAGATGTTCCAAAAATCAAGATGGACTACATGCATTTTTTTCTATTAAGGTAGTTGAAGAAAAAGTTTAACAAAAGCCAGTAAGAAACAGAAAACATACTAAGTTCATCTTATTTTCAAAATTGAACAGCACATCGCTATCTACTACATAACCTGATGGTGTCCCCTACCCCCATTTTGGTGAGTAATTTACAGGTGATTTAGACAGAAGTTAATCACTATTTAACACATTGCACTGGTATATATGCATATATGTATACTAGAGGCCCATTGCACGAAATTTGTGCACTGGGAAAGGGGTGTCCCTCAGCCCAGCCTGCACCCTCTCCAAACTGGGACCCCTCGGGATCGGGCCGAAACTGGCAGTTGGATATCCCTCTCACAATCTGGGACTGCTGGCTCCCAACCGCTTGCCTGCCTGCCTGCTTATTGCCCCTAACTGCTTCTGCCTGCCAGCCTGATCACCCCCTAACCATTCCCCTGCCAGCCTGATCAATGCCTAACTGCTCCCCTACAGACCTGGTCACCTTTAACTGCTCTCCCCTACCAGCCTGGTCATCCCTAACTGCCCTTCCCTGTAGGCCTGGTCACTCCCAACTGCCCTCCCTCCCCTGCAGGCCTCGTCGCACCCAACTGCCCTTCCCTGCTAACCTGATTGCCCACAACTGCCCTCCCGAGCCGGCCATCTTGTGCGAGGGTGTGATGATCAATTTGCATATTACCTCTTTATTATATAGGATATGCATGAATACACATACACACATATGTATAATTCATCACATCACATAAAGACCACTGTTTTCCCCTTTTCACATATTCCTATTACCTAAAATGAGCATGGATAATGATTTTACAGTAGGAAACACAACTAATTAAAATCAAATTAGAAAATGTAAAGTGGTATGCTGTCAGAGTCCAATAAAATAAGTCAATGCATATTTATGTAGTGGTAAAGTGGTAGACAGTTCTTTTATTTGTATTCTAAAAACGATTATAGTAAAAAGAAGTTTGCTGTTTCATTTGATGGTGGTGACCACAGGCACCATAGCAATGGCACTGGCTGAGTTGGAGTGGATGATGTCCTCATAATCCGGGGGTGGGTCTAAATGAGGTTCTGTTTCAATCCTCTGAAGGTTCACTTGTCCTGTAGCTTCCTCATAGGTTGGTGGAGGATCGCAGTTGGAAAGGTGAGTGGAGACAGAATCTGAGCGCCCAACTACATATTCCAGAAAGCCTGGCGACATTCCATTGCTATCAAACACTTCGTCTGGTGGGGGAGGTGAAGTGATAATATTAAGGTGCTGAGGGAAAGGGATGTGATCTTCAGTCACTGTCTGTCTGCGAGTTTTGTTTCTTAGGAAGCATCTCCAGATTAAGAAAATGACAAGGAGGATAATAAAGAGGCCAAAGATTAATGGAAAGGTAAGGTAAAACTGAAACCAGTCACTTCCTCTGTTACTCTCACCTTGTTGCGCTTTTGTATAGGTGTTCCAAAACTCTTTCTGAAAACAAAAGACAAAATTATTGAAAATCAGTATGATCAAAAGATATGAAATATCAAATGAATAAATGTCTGGGGTCTAGTAATATAATGAAAAGAAATACAACAAACAAACCAGCTTTCTTTGTTAAAATGACCTACAGTCTACATTTTTCATGATAAGAAATTACAAATAAATCATGGTGCTCACTCTGGATCCTTCCTAAAATAGAACATGGGTCATCTTCAAGGCTTGGAGTTATTTATATTTTTAGCTATCACATTTTATTTTTTTCATTTATAGAAATTTAAAAAAAATCTTTCAATTATAGTTAACATACAATATTTTATTAGTTTCAGGTATACAACATAGGGATTAGATATTTATATAACTTACAAAGTGATCACCCCAATAACTCTAGTACCTATCTGACAACATACATAGTTATTACAATAATATTGGCTATATTCCCTATGCTATATTTTACATACCCATAACTGTTTTTAAAACTGGCAATTTGTACTTATTAATCTCTTCACATTTTTTACCCATCCTCCTCAATCCCCCTCCCGTTTGACAATCATCAATATTTTCTCTATATCCATGTTTGTTTCTGTTTTGTTTGTTCATTTATTTTGTATTTTGAATTCCACATATAAATAAAAACATGTGGTATTTGTCTTTATTCTTTTTAATAATTCTTTTAATAAAATATATTTTCTTGATTTTTTACAGCGAGGGAGAGGGATAGAGAGTTAGAAAGAGAACCATTGATCAGCTGCCTCCTGCCCACTCCCCACCGGGTATGTGCCCGCAACCAAGGTACATGGCCTTGACCAGAATTGAACCTGGGACCCTTGAGTCCGCAGGTCGATGCTCTATCCACTGAGACAAACTGGT